ATTTCTTTTTAAACTAAAAATATAACCCTACCCAAAATCATGGGCTTTTTTTGTTTTTTTTTTTTTTTTTTTTTTTTTTTTTTTTTTTTGCAGCACATCTCATATGACTTTTAAATACGATCTATTATTGGTTTATTAACTTACAATAACTATAATACATATAAATATATTAAAAATGAATTAATACAATTAAATGATTGTTTGTTCAAATCTTCTTAAGTCCCTTATCGTGTATGTGATGCTTAAACGTAAATAGAACCCAACAAAATATCACTTCTCAGAATAACTGAGGCATCAACCCTTACTTCAAAACCTTACATTAATACAAAACATAGTTATTCTTTTTTTCGTCATTAAGATTTTGTATTTTTACAAATATTATTATTTATATTTCGCGTACCATTTTATGAATTTAGATTTATAAATTTAGAAGAATAAAATTCGTTTACATATATTAGAACGTAATAGCGTTATCAACTGGACAAGTTTTAATTATATAAAAGATATATTTATTTTCATAATCTCGTTTAGTATTATAAGTCAGCAAGCTTACTTTTTTTCAAAATGAAACGAAACAATTGAATGCGTGTTTTCATTTTGTTATTACTCACCTAAACTCTCTAGATTTTCAAATTTAAATTGAATATAAAGTTACGCAACCATTTTAGCCATGATTAAATCCCATTAAAATATAAAAGTTCCATGCCAGAATAAACTTGATTGATACCATAATTGTATGCGTTTTTTTATATAATGTTTTAAATCAATATATATGTCATTATTTGTATGATTTCAAATATTCGTTATTTACTGCTTTTATTAAAGGCTATACTTAACAACCTTGTCTTTCATCATATAACATGGGGTGAAATGATCGATTACGGCTTTGTCTTAGTCATTTTTTACTAGCTGGGGCAATGCAACAAAGTTGCACGTGTAAAAACACGGGTAGATGTGTATCATGGAAAATAATGAATACAGGTAGCGCTCCATGTATCCACCACTGCTTACTTGTGTTGACGTTACATAAAGTGGTTAGTGGCTCCATGTATCCACCACTGCTTACTTGTGTTGACTTTACATAAAGTGGTTAATGGCTCCATGTATCCACCACTGCTTACTTGTGTTGACTTTACATAAAGTGGTTAGTGGCTCCATGTATCCACCACTGCTTACTTGTGTTGACTTTACATAAAGTGGTTAGTGGCGGGCACTGATGCAGTTTTCGGTGGCTATTGACAGTTAGTGGTGACATTGTGATAGGGCATTCACGTGTGCTGACACCGTGCTACTTCATTTTCAAGCCTACCTTAGCAGGAACTCAGGTTTCAGGGCCAGTGGAGAGAGAACCCTGCCGGTGGTAGATGGCTTGTCTCAAAGACGACCGCAAAATGAATCAGCACGACTCACGGCTTGCTGTAGAGCTCCTGTTGTACGTCGCATGTAGAGTAGGACAAAAAGTGAAAGGGCTTTTATTTCTCAACGATGTCCCAGAAACTGGGACTCGAAGGGGAGCCTTTTCAGACTCGCTTGTAATGAACAATTTAAATTAATATTTGATCGAAAGCAAATACAATGGTAATTTAAAGCTTCAATTAACATCTACAATAAAATAATGTACAGTTTTTTGTGATTCTTTTTTTTTTTTTAAGTTCTAATTTGTTAAAATACTCATAGCAGGCCTAAAAAAAATTTTTCGATATTTTTTTTTGCACAACAAAATAAATGTTATTTAAAATATAATCATCATAATTAAAAAAACAATAAATAAAAATTAAGGGATTCATTAGTACCAAAAGCTTACAAGTAATGTACGAGTTTTTTCCCCTTTGTAATTAATGTAGCAGTAGCCGTCATTTTTTTTCTTACACGAGTAACTGTATTATTAAACACATTTTAGGGATACTTCTAAAAATCCATAATGTAATAATAATTTTCCTTCTATTCTGCCTCACATTTTAACAGATCCAAAATTTCAATCAAGAACAACAATTTTAAAATCCCAAACAATTCAAAAATGTAATAGAAGCGCATGTACCCGTGCGCAACATTTCGGGGTTGGTTTGGGTTGGGTTTGGGGGGGGGGGGGAAGGGATCCTTTAATGGATTGGTTTGACAAAATGTGTCTATGTGTGTCCATATTATCGCCATTAATATGAGTAGTCGAGAAAATCCTAAAAAATGAAAAGAGCAAACTATGGTGAGGGGAAATATGCAGTTGGTGAGATTTAAATGGTTTCTTGTAAGTCTCAAGTCAACTTTAATGGGGGNGGGGGGGGGGGGGGGGGGGTTTAGTCGATGGCACAAATATTTTTTTTCTTTTCTGTGAGATGTTACCATTTAAAGTGGAAAATGATCTCCTAACCCCAATGTGCGGGGTGGTACAGTGGTAAATGTTGACCTTCCACCAAAGGCTAAGATGGTTAAGTGTGAAATGTTGTCCTGGCCCCAAGGTTTGGGGTGGGAAAGTGGTAAATGGTCTCTTTACCACCTTAAAGGTTGGAATAGTAAAATGGTAAATAATATCCTTCACCCAAAGCATTGGGTGGTAATGTGGTAAATGCTTTCCCTCCTAGAACTGTTGGGGTGTAAAAATGATAAGTGTTCTCCTTCCCTAAACGGTTTGGGTGGAAAAGTGGTAAATGCTTTGAAACGAAACGGTTGGGATTTTAAAGTGGTAAATGATATTTTCCCACCAACTGTTGGGGCGTTAACTTGGTAAATGATGTCCCCTACTTCTAACAAGACAACAACAGTGTCACAGATAATACAATCAATTACCACGTATGTAGACTGTAACACACAAGTGTAGTCAAGAAAATATCCAAAACTCATGACATGAAACAGCATCGATGTACTTGTAGCAAAATTTAAAACTAAAATAAAATAAAACGGTCTCATTTTGTATTCTTGTAAAAGTTAAAGCACCACCCACCCTCCTCCGCAAAGAGAATAGAAAAACAACGCATAACCAATGTGATCATATGGATTGAAAATGTTAATATCTGTTAGCAAGATTGCTTTTTTTTCATGTTGAGGTATACTGTTGAGGTATACTATGGAGGTATACTGTTGAGGTATACTGTGGAGGTATACTGTTGATGAGTACTGTGGAGGTATACTGTGGATGTATACTGTGGAGGTATACTGTGGAGGTATACTGTGGAGGTATACTGTTGATAAATACAGTGGAGGTATACTGTTGATGTATTCTGTTGAGGTATACTGTTGATGTATACTGTGGAGGTATACTGTGGAGGTATACTGTTGAGGTATACTGTTGATGTATACTGTGGAGGTATACTGTTGAGGTATACTGTTGAGGTATACTGTTGATGTATACTGTGGAGGTATACTGTTGATGTATTCTGTTGTGGTATACTGTTGATGTATACTGTGGAGGTATACTGTGGAGGTATACTGTTGAGGTATACTATTGATGTATACTGTTGAGGTATACTGTTGATGTATACTGTGGAGGTATACTGTTGATGTATACTGTTGAAGGTATACTGTTGATTTGGACTATGGAGGTATACTGTGGAGGTATACTGTTGAGGTATACTGTTGATGTATACTGTTGAGGTATACTGTTGATGTATACTGTGGAGGTATACTGTTGATGTATACTGTGGATGTATACTGTTGATGTATATAGTGGATGTATACTGTGGAGGTATACTGTGGAGGTATACTGTTGAGGTATACTGTTGAGGTATACTGTGGAGGTATACTGTGGAGGTATACTGTGGAGGTATACTGTTGATGTATACTGTATAGGTATACTGTTGATGTATACTGTTGAGGTATACTGTTGAGGTATACTGTTGATGTATACTGTTGAGGTATACTGTTGATGTATACTGTTGATGTATACTGTTGATGTATACTGTTGAGGTATACTGTTGATGTATACTGTTGATGTATACTGTTGACGGATACTGTTGATGTATACTGTTGACTTATACTGTTGATGTATACTGTTGAGATATACTGTTGAGGTATACTGTTGAGGTATACTGTTGATGTATACTGTTGAGGTATACTGTTGATGTATACTGTTGATGTATACTGTTGATGTATACTGTTGAGGTATACTGTTGATGTATACTGTTGATGTATACTGTTGACGGATACTGTTGATGTATACTGTTGACTTATACTGTTGATGTATACTGTTGAGATATACTGTTGATGTATACTGTTGAGGTATACTGTTGAGGTATACTGTTGATGTATACTGTTAAGGTATACTGTTAAGGTATACTGTGGAGGTATACTGTGGAGGTATACCGTGTCCCTAGGAAACTCGCATCACCAGGCTGGTCAGTAATTGAGATCCCTGTGTCACGTTATACTTTTTTATACTGTCTCTTTATCTCTTGAAACCGTAATTCCACTTCCTTGGTAAACCTGGTGTGTATTGTGTAGATTTGTGTATATATATATATTTTTGAATTTAATGTTTCTTTAAAAGAAGCACACTTATTATTTACATGGGTGGCAGAGCTGTAAACACGCCCCTGACCTAGTCAGCCACGAACTCAAGGCTAAACGCACAAGTGCAAGGTCTTCTCTTGAAAAGGGATGAGTCATAGTACTGTTGCTCCGTAATCACGCAATTCTCTGAATCGGGTAAACCCAAAAGGAAACATGTTTACGTGGAGCTTGAGCTCACGTGGTACTCCACTACCTTGCAATATAAACCGCATTGACATCTCCGTCTCCAGCATTCAACAGCTGCAACGCACCCCAGTCCCAGCTCTACACGTGGATATCAGCTCTGATCTGTCAAAGAAAACACACATCTTTCTTCACCTCTACCGAATCATAAGTACGTGCCCGGGTTTGATATGTAAAATTCATTTCCGTTGCTAGTCTGATAAACGTTTGTTGAAATACATTTCCGTTAGCATTATTAGATCATTATGTTACTGTTTTTCGTGTTCTAGCACTGCAAGGCATAATAATTCATTTTTAAAGACATATCAATAGTTTATTTTAACACACACATTTCAGCGTATTGTATATGTTTATACTTTAATATTTGTATTTACTTTTTTTTAAATGTATGTTTAACTGATATATTCCATTCTGTTTACATAACCCAGGGGTTCCCAAGCATTATCTAGTTATAGTACCCTTGCCTCATCCAGGTTTTCGTCAAGCGCGTTTTGTTCAATGCTACACTTTTTTTTTCGTTTATCCTTTGCTACATATCTGTGAGAAACAGTTCGTGTACCTCTGCAAAGAAACAGTAACGTCTATTGTGAAGAGTGATGCCTCATAGAACAATCTGGTGCTTGTTGTTTTCTACTGCTTTGTGTTTATTTTTTGTGTTGTTTTTTTTTCGTACTTCGCAATTTTCGGCTGGAGTAGCAGCATTGACTTGAGTAGCAGCATTGACTTGAGTAGCAGCATTGACTTGAGTAGCAGCATTGACTTGAGTAGCAGCATTGACTTGAGTAGCAGCATTGACTTGAGTAGCAGCATTGACTTGGGCTATATTATTTTTTTTAAGTGAGGGAGAGTTGTTCAGTTCGTCAGCCTTACTCTCTCGCCCCTTGCCTATTTGATCCAATGGCAAGACTTAGTCAGTCATGCATAGACTATTGCAAAACGATGTTTTTACCATTAAAAAAAATTACCTAAGATGTTCCGTTTAAAAAAAAATGGTAATTTTCTCCGGCAAATTTCTGTAACAGTCATCATAATGTGTTTTTTTAAATTTTCGTTTGAAACAGATCTGCAATATGGCAAGACTTGTGTCCTGTGCTCTCATCGTACTTCTGCTCTCGCCAACCGCCACCAATGCCTGGTTCACTGAGGCGGTATGTGCTGTAGTGGGGGGCGTTGCAACCGTCGCATTGGCTCCAATAGTTTTACCGGCTGTCGGCTTTACATCAGGTACGTTGCAGAATATTTTCAATAATGTTCACATGTATTATAAGAGCCAAATGTAATTGTAATGGTGATAAATCTATGCTATTTGAGGATTCCTTCCCTTTTCTGTAGAGATTGACGCAAATTTGGCGTTGTATTGGATTGGAAGACCAATTGATTTTTCTTTTACTCGCACTTGGGCAGAAAGGATAGAAGGATTACAGGGTGTGAAGAAAATAGTGGGGAAAAAAGTACGTGGAAGCGTGAAATATAGCGACAGGATATTAAAAAAACAGAGCGTTTCGGCTAAGAGCCTTAGTCAGCGGACAGGACAACAGTAGAAACAATAAGAAAATAGAAAATAGTTTAAAATAACTGAAGTGCTCGATGCTCGCTATGAATGCTATGTTATTCTTTACCATGCTTTCCAGAAAGAGTTTCGTAGTGAAAATAATTGCAGTTGTATATAGTGAAGTGGTTGTCTTGTGAAACTGATGATTACTAGCGTTCCCTTGTGGTTCTAGAACAGCGGTTCTTAACCTTCCCAATGCCGCGACCCGTTAATACCGTTCCCATTGTTGTGGCGACGCCCAACCTCAAAATTATTTTCGTTGCTACTTCATAACTATATTCTATTTATTTTCCGATGATCTTAGGCGACCCCTGTGAAAGGGTCGTTCGACCCCCGAAGGGGTCGCGACCCACAGGTTGAGAACCGCTGTTCTAGAAGGAAATAATATGATGTAATAGAAACATCTCAAGATCTTTTGGCAACAAAGATGGTATGTTATAGCAAGAGATGTGCGTGGTGGGCAGGTGCTCATTGTAAAAATAAACAAAAGTTTTTTTCGTATTAACACCCCATATGTATTGTTAATTCTTTTATATTAATTTTCTAATGACCCACCCTTTTTACACAGAGGATTTATTTAACCAACTATTCGAAAAAAGAAAAAAAAAATATTGCTGAAATTTTAAAAGAAGCTGTTGTCATCGCCAGTTAGTCTATGTGATAAGTTTCAGCTTTTTATGTCAACGCGAAGTGGGTCACTTAGCCATCCGAAAGTTTTGCCTAAACAAGCAAAAACGAAGTTAATGAAAATGATTTAAAAATAACTCTGATTGTAACTGACACACTCAATGTAGCATAGATACATTCTATACACTCAATCTGAGCGATCAACTATTTTAAGCATTTGAGCACAGGATTCTTTTGCTGTGTGTTTACCTGTGGATCAAACAGCTTAATTAGGCACAAACTGGATTTACTTGAAATCCAAAATGTAAAATCACATTTTTTAATATTTTTTTTACATTTGGAACCCATCGTTTGGATTATTATATCTTTAAGTTTTATGTCAGACACACGAAGCGATAGTTTGAAAGTTGAAAGGTGAAAGTAATTATGCTGCGTCAGTAAATAGATCATTTTGTTTTTCATATTTGAGGGCCCACGAACAATTTATTGATCATTTTGGGTCCTGATTTGAATTCAGAGTTAGCCTCCTCTTAGATGAGTTGCCTTCCAAGGCTAACGAGTCCCATCCACCCGGGGTGCTTGGGATGTTGGCTTTGGTGGGGATTGAACTCCAGACCACCACTATTTGTAGTGAGTCAGTTTAGACCACTCGGCCACCTATCCGAAAATATAAATATAATTTCAACCAAAAAAAACATGCACATAAGTGTTTGAGACGTTGATAGCATATAATATTTCCTTTTGTATTTAGAGTGTTGGTAAATCGAACGTTCGTAAATCGAGAGCCACCTGTTGATTAACAACTTGTGGAATGTACACATAATATGCAAATTCGATACAATTCTTTCAGCTCAGCAATGAAATTAAGTTTTTTAAAATCTGTTACTTATATTTTCCATCAAAGTTTACCAAGTGATTTTATTAAATTACAATTTAATTCTCACTATTACAGCTGGTATTGCCGCTGGGTCTCTAGCCGCTACAGCGATGTCGACAGCATGGTCAACTGGCGTCGGGGTGGGTTTGGTTGCAGCCGCACAGTCCGCTGGTGCTGTTGGTGCCGTCGGTCTAATAGGGACTGTCGCTGGTGGTGCAGTCGGTGCAGGCGTCGGGCACGTCATCGCAAAGGCCGGGTCGGACAAATGCTGCGGTTGTGAGAATGACTGCAACTGTCTTTAGTAAAGTGGTTGTCTTGTGAAACTCTGGTAATTACTAGCGTCCTGTGCTTCTAGAAGGAAATCATATGATGTGCTCGAAACATAATTATCATGATGTTTACTTAAAAGATTAACAGGTTTTACTCCACACACACATAATTCCACCCAAACAAAATTTACATAAGAAACAAAAACAAAAAATAACTGGTGTAAATTTGTTTATTTATGTTTATTGATAAGGCCATTTTTTTAACATTAATTCAGAAATCTTTAAATTTTTCCGTGCAATTTTATATGGTAATATCTTCAAAGAAAGATAGCAGAATTTCCCCCCTCCCCCGCCCCCAAACCCCACATACACAAAGCATCACAATTATTTAGCGTACATGAGCCAAACTTTGTTAACATTAAAATAAATTGTGTTGTTGAGTTTTTTGCTATTTCCTTCGACTATCAAAAGGCTTTTCATTACTAACCGTAATGGACGGCTTTTTAGTTGGGAAATTGAGGAGGCTCAACTATTTCAAATTTAAATTAAATGTCAATAAAAGTTGGCCATAGAGTTTCCAGATTTCTCAGAAGCGTAGGGCAAAGTTCAATTACTGGAGTTTTTGAGGGCAACCGAGAGCGGATTTTTTTTTTCTTTATTGTGCTTGTTTGTTTCATTTTTTAAACATGTTATTGCTCTTGAAATACTTTTTACTGTATGCATTTTTATTTAATTTTTGTTTTGCCTTGTTTGCGTCGTTGTTGTTTCTCACCCAAAATATTGTTGTAACAACACTCGTGTGTATTGTGTTGACTCCATTCTCGATTATTTCAAATATATTAGATATAGCTTTTATTATCTGTCATTAAATGACCATATTTTTCAACCTGTATACTGTCTGCCAATGCAAGAAACGTATTATTTAATTTTATGCACAACTGCAAGATTTCTGATTTAAATATGTTGGGGAATTACCACTTGAGGTCTATGGAATTAAAAGATAGGGCAGAAACCATTTTAATGTTGCATTTTTTGTAATACAATTCCTAAATATTCAAACTAGAAGCTTTAAATCGATTCAATCAATTGCCTAAATATCGTATGTGTTTGTATGTTTCATGTGGTTTATTTTAATAGCACAATCCCTTTATAGTAGTTGGAGTTTTTAAAAACAGTATAAGTATTTGCTTGTCTTATAAGTTTTTTTTCCAATAAAATGTGTTTCTATCTACTACTTATATCGTTGTTTGTATTAAATTATTTTATAAGTGTTAAAAAAAAAGGTTTGTTAGTATAAGGGAGGAAGGCGTTTAATGAAAACAACGGCACATCTGGAAAAAAGAAAACAAAAGAACAACTATTCGCATTGGTAGATATTGCGTAGCATTATATTGTGGAAAATTATAATGTGTATCATTTTTATATGGGTGAAAATAACGTGGGTGATTGTCATTTGGGGATTGTAATGTGAGGGATTATTATGTGGGCAAATTGGGTACATATAATATTGGGTCTTATGGTGGTGGGTGGGGAAAAAAGTAGAAAACACCATTTCATACATGAGATATGTTCCAAATGAATCAATCAATAAATAAAATAATATATATATATATATACAGTTTTTCTGATCATCATTTTGAACTTCCTGATGTGTTAAAATACTCCTAGCAGGCCTCAAACCTGAAGTTTTCATTTCAATAAGTATTGGCACAGCAAATTAAGTTTCCTTTAAAATATATTAATCATAATTTTTAAAAAAATAATAATTATAAAATGTATAGGATTAATTACTACCAAAAGCTAACAAGTAACTTTAAAGTTATTTCCCTCTATAAAATGTTAGACGTTTATATGTATTAATCAAACTCCCTTTTTTTTTTTTTGTTACATTTTTAACTGTATTGTTACAAATAATTTAGGGATACTTAACAATCCATAATTAAATACTCATTTTCTTTCTATACTGCCTTACATTTTAAAAAATCTAAAAGTTCAATCAAGAGCAAAAATCTAAAAGAAACTTATCCAATTTAAAAATAGCGAATTTACCCGAGCATCACTACTTGGGAAGGTTCTTTAAATTATTGATGTAAAATGTGTATATGTGTGTCCATGGTATCACTATTAAAAAAAAAGTAACATGGGTAAAACGAAGCATGGGCAAACCTGAAAATAAGGAACAACAAAACAACCAACGTATCGGAAGGAAGCCTTCGTCAGCTACCAAACTACAGACAAAAAACAGAATTAAATTTAAAAATAGCACTTAGCTGAGAATTAGTAATAATTAGATGAGATATTAAATACGTGCAAAAAAAGGGAGAGAAAATAGTTGAAGTCAGCCCACTGCGATAGGTCGTGACGTGGAGGGACGGGGCAAAGGCTCAAGCTGTGAATCCCCATTAATAGGAGTAATCGAGCAAATCAAAAGATCAAAACTATCGTGGCGGAAATGTGTACGTGGGGAAAATGTGTACGTGGAGGAAATGTGTACGTTGGGGAAGAGTTTTAACCATTTATGGTTTATTGTAAGCCTCATGTCATCTTTCATGTTTTTGAATCGATGGCACACTATATATTTTCTCTCCTGTGAAATTTGACCATTTATTCTACACTTGTTTTCTGCGGTCTAACATTTTACTGTGAAATAGTGTTTTGATTTTTTTTCCTGACCACGTAACAAAGTCTATAGAATTTCTGATGTATCAAAAATATTTGTATTTCATTCAATACTTCTTTTAATCCCTAGCTATCAACTCATCCATCCATCCTTAAAAATCCACAACAAAATCCACAACCTCAAGCTCTCTCTCCTATCATCCAAATTTTCTTCTCCATATCTTTTTTTTTAAAAAGACAACCCTCTATTCGCTTTCGCCGTTCTTCAACCCTCCACTACAATACAGTCCCATTCCTTATAAAATTCAATCAAAGTTTTTCTTTCTCCCCCCCCCCTTTTCGGCCCATCTCTATCACAAAACATCAATATACAACATTTTAATATGAACTTTCGAATTGGTCATCAGGATGTAGATCAAAATTGAAATGCAAGGTAGAGGTCACGCACGGGTGAGTGGAGTTAATGGATGACCTAATGAACATGAACGATTTTCTTTATTGTCGTCAAGGGTGGGGAAGTGTACAATCACAATAAAACAAAATGACAGAGCAACCAAGTAAAAACCATACAATAAAATAAACTTGAATCGACTGTCATTTTTATCTTTCTCGAAGATGCAATTTCTTTTAAAAATGATAATAATAAATCTGGGAGGTGGAAACTCCGCCGAATCCCTCATGAATGCGACACTGCATAAGTGTACTCCATTGGAGTGGCCGAGACATAACCACTCACAAAAGCCAACATTGTAACACTCATTTTGTTTTCTTATTCATTGCAAATGATCGAGCCATCAGTCGGATTTAAACTCTCAAATCCCACCCCCCCCACGCTCAAATTTTAAATGACCCCCCCTGGTTAAATGACCCATGCCCAGGTTAAGCTATGCACTTTTCTTTTGCTGCCCACGGATACTACTTCTAAGCCAAGTGCTATTTTTTATTTTTATCCCGTTTTTTTCTGTTATTTTGTTCGTTGACGAAGGCTTTCTGCCGACACGTGTACGTTGTTTTGTTGCGTTCCTTTTTTCGGGTTTAACCCTACTTTGTTTTACTCATTTTTTTTATTAAACTATGATACCTAGTTTAATGACGCCCGAGTTTAATGCAAGCCCCCCCACCACCACCCCCTCCCGGGGTTCAATGGCATCCCTGGTTACAAGACACCCTACTCCTTTTTTCAAACGAATATTTAAAAAAATAACTAAACTTAAACGAATAATTAAATTTAAAAAAAAAAAAAAATTGGATAATTTAAAAAAAATAATTATGTCATTTGTTTTGGTGTTTCGTTGCCCACTCATTGCCTCGACTCTGCAAAACACCAATTTTCGCCAACCCAATGCCCTGACTCTATAAAAAGTAATATATTTCCCCCTTCACGAAGACTGTGCTCATGGCTTTGTTTATAGATTCAACGTGTTACACTTGAAACTGAAACGAAAGACTCCTATTGCGTGGCTGCGGGAAGTCCCTATCATGACCTTTGATCTCTTCCCCCCACCCCCCAGTTCATGCCACGTAATCCCATCTGTACATCACAGCCCCATGAACGTGTTCCTATTCAGGGGCGTAGGAAAGTGTGTGTGAGGGGTGGGGGGGGGGAGAGAAAAGTCCGTCCGACAAAGGCGGCACTTTTATCTTTATGCTGAGGTATTTCGTCCACCTGCAAAGTTTTTTTCATGGAAGGAAATCCACTAAAAATTTTGGTCTACGCCGCTGTATCATAAGCAAGGATTAAAAATTAAGTGCATGGACACACGTACGCAATTTTTCACGTGCGTAAAGATAAATTGGAGGAGCGAGGTCCATGCTAATATTTGAAACTAATAATATTATAAGAGCTATATTACAAGACTCAGACACTGTTGGTGAAATGTTGCTAAAGAATTATAAATTAAGAACAATGAAATCGGTTCAGGCTTCAAGCTGTATTGTTGGTTTTGCCTCGACACATTTCATTTGATCAACTTAGATGAACAAACATTTCTGGGTTGAGCATTAGATCACTATGTGAACAGGGCACTTTTCATCGTCATAGTCATAGCCTAACAATATTTCTTTTTTTTTTTAAATAAAAACAAAAATTACAACCACAACAAATTTTCCTGAGCTTATTAGAATTCAATCTAAAATAGACGACATTTGCAGATACGACATATTAGTTTAGAAAAGAACCAGCGGTTTGTCTCCGGAAAATAACTTACATTTGTTAATGGCAGCAATGAAATCTCTTCATGAGAATTGACACTTTTACAACAACAACAAAATTACCGCTTCTTTCAGTTTATAATTTAGCGAATTTATTCTTCTTACTCAATAAATAAGTTCCGACACAATATTCTTCATCGTTTCACGTCTACACCTACATGCCACAAAACAAATAGAACATTATAACAAACCATTAAAACATGCCACAAAACAAATAGAACATTATAACAAACCATTAAAACATGCCACAAAACAAATAGAACATTATAACAAACCATTAAAACATGCCACAAAACAAATAGAACATTATAACAAACCATTAAAACATGCCACAAAACAAATAGAACATTATAACAAACCATTAAAACATGCCACAAAACAAATAGAACATTATAACAAACCATTAAAACATGCCACAAAACAAATAGAACATTATAACAAACCATTAAAACATGCCACAAAACAAATAGAACATTATAACAAACCATTAAAACATGCCACAAAACAAATAGAACATTATAACAAACCATTAAAACATGCCACAAAACAAATAGAACATTATAACAAACCATTAAAACATGCCACAAAACAAATAGAACATTATAACAAACCATTAAAACATGCCACAAAACAAATAGAACATTATAACAAACCATTAAAACATGCCACAAAACAAATANGTGAACGAACGGACAGGACATCAGCTTAGTTACTTTTTCTTTATTTTCTCTTTATTTTAATACATATTTTGTCTATTTTGTCTATTTTTTTTTAATCCAATCAATCAAAGGGGGGGGGAAGTGCCCCCCTTGCCCCACCTCCCTGCGGGCGCCCATGACTTGGGGTACATTTATTATTGTGCTATTTAAAAGTCAATTCTGAAAAACAGTTTCAATTGTAAATAAGGCATATTTGTGTAGAAGAAAAAAAAAGACTAAGATAACTCAAAGTGCTTCAGTTGTAAATAATCCAGATTTGTATAAAGACATATATAGTAGGTTAGCATATATATATAAAGAGAGAGAGAGAGAGAGAGAGAGAGAGAGAGAGAGAGAGAGAGAGAGAGAGAGAGAGAGAGAGAGAGAGAGAGAGGGACGTAGGGACACACGAGAAATCTAGGTGAGAGAGATGATTTACACTAAGAGGGGCCTGGGCTATGTTTGTAATGAATTAATAAATTATCTACGTTCAAGTTGCCGAATACCCTTTCTCGGAAAAATCCCCAGCTATTTTTAGATTGCCACGAAATGCGGTGCACCAAGCTAAAATTAAAACAAAAAGCAACACACGTGATACGTTTCTGCGGGTGCATAATTGTACGTTTGAGGTGGCGTCTAAAAGTTCAAAATAACATCTTTTAAAGAATTTAGTTTTCTATAGGAAATCCTGGGAGCACGTCGTGTTTATTTCTATCAAATATTAGGGTAAGTAATATCGCTTTAACACATTTATTTCCTGCCTGTGGTAAATTAAGGCATGTACGTCATACTTACTTACTGAAGCATGCATTTTACGCCGTCTATGGGGCATAGGCCGTCCACAAGACATGTCCATTCATCTGGGTCCTCTGCCATGGCCGGTTCCCAAGCCCGGTTGCAAAAGGAGGAGGATTGGCGAGAGGTCAGCTACCTCCAACAGAAAAAAAGTAAAACAATTGCTATGGAAACGCCAATAGGAAGATGTACGTCATAGACGTATACAATTCGACAGAAACCGTAGGGACTACACACTACGAGTTCGTTTTTTCCTGCTCACTTGGAACCGAAACATCTGCATTTACTTTGAGGACGATCAAGTCATTGAGAATTGGGGTGGGGGGCAAAGGAGCGTCCCCCCTGGAGCCAACCTCGAGGGGTTGCCTAAATCTTAAATTATCCAGTGCAAAGATACGATTTTTTTATCGAAGTGGCTATTCGTACCCGGGTACCAGAAGTGAGAGGTTGGGATTAAAAAATATTTAACATTTTATTGTTCGGTTTGTAAGACAAAAATGGGGTATCAAATGAAAGATAATTGAAAGGACTATATGTTTGTAAACTTAATTCTTCAATTCAACTAAAATAAACTACCACAAATGACATCCAAATGAGATTTAGTCTAAAGGAACCCGGGTACGCATAGAAGCTGTTCGGACCTTGTTAAGTAGTTTCTTACTTGAGGCGCCACAGTAAATAGCCATTTAAATAAAACCTTGAAATTCGGGGGGGGGGGGCGCCAAATGCCTCCCGACCTACCCAAATTATGTCTCTGATGCCCAGTGTTACGATAGAGCAACACTTGGCTACTCCATGGGAAGATGATAACAGCTAGAAACTCTACTATAAATGACAGCTTTTCTGACAATAATCATATTTATACCACAAACAATGATATTTATTCTTTAACAACCTTTCAATGTGTTCTGCATTATAAAATTTAAATGTAAGAACTTTTTAACGTGTTGATCAACTAGCTAAAGATGAAATAAAATGATGTACCTACAATATTGTGTCAATAAAAAAGATCATCACACAGTAAAATGTATTGATAAATTCATTTATATTATAATTCATTTTTTTTTTTGTGAGGGGAATGTTAGAAAATGCTGACATAATTAAATAGGGGGAGGGGTCGGTCATTGAACGTTTGACAGTTGTTGATACGGGGGGGGGGGGGGGGGGGGGAAAAATTGCGTATAATTTGTTGACGTAATTAATGGACGACCCCTCTGTTTTTAAGTGCATAATGCCGGAAAAACTAACGTGTGCGCTAAAATGCATCTCTGCATTTTGATTTAATCACATGCTACTTGGAAGGTTACATAGTGTGAGAAATGTTAAGGTCATGATTTTAAGTTACTATGCAATTATCTACTAATGACAACAATTCAGTTCACTTCATAAAAACCTATAATTTGTAATATTCTCAGCAGCTCTCAAACTGACACAATGGTGTGGGAAATTATCTCTTGGACCTTAGAGCTCACCTTCAACATTGTATGCTCCTTGACTCGGGCACTGGTGTGGACATTCCAGCAAACCTTTTACATGGTATTAACTTGGGTTCTTCCTAAATCAGGCTTGATCATTGTGCAATCCATTTCCTTTGTGTCTTCGTGGATGCTGCCTGCAATGGGCTGGATATTACAGCAAATTTTTCACCTTGTATGGAATTACCCACAGGCTGTGATAGTATCTATTCTCGGGGCCTTGCTGACGACTGTTGCGTTTTCCGTCATGGGCTTAACCAGCGGTAATGTACTGGTTTTATTTGACTTATGTTTTGAATGTCACGTAAAACTCAGAACGAATTGAACATTTAAATTTTTTACAGCCTTCTCTTTCTGGTTCAAGTGCGTATTCAATCAAAATAACAAACATGAGATGTAATGATTTGGGGGAAAAGTAGTGGTGGGGGAGGGGGTGGCCTCACAAAATGTAAGCTAAAGATAATAAAAAAATAAATTTAAAAAAACCAAGACGGCTTGGAGGTGTTGGCATGCAAAACGGGCATTTTAAAATATTCTTTATTGCGATTAAAACTATTTTTTTTTTGTAAAATAGGAGCTAGAGAGATATATATTTTAAACTGGAAACATTCCATCATACTTTTGCCTAGATAGGTTTAGTGTCAACATGGGTGGTACAAGACTTCTTTTCCACGAAGAAAAACTGTGCAGTTGGGCCGAAGAGGCCTCCTTTTCATATAAAGAAAAATGTTCTGAACGGGCGGAGCGCCCCTTTCCCAACCCTTCCTACACCACTGATTCCATGGCACGCAAATAATTGGTTATATATTGTGTTACTTACCGTGTATATTTGTTTGTTTTAAATTTATTTCTTATGAAATATAATCAGAGGTGTTTTGAAAATATTTTGCCTTTTAAAGAAAATATTTTAATTTAATTAACTGATTTATGTCCAAACTGAAAATTGCATTGTATGTCCAGCATCATCTGCTAGGGTGAGCCGACATTGTTTGTGTGTTGTTGTGTGTGTGTAAGGGGGGGGGGGTCTGAAGATCGGGTTTAAGATCACCTTTCTCAGTATCAGTTTAGGCTACAGACTAAAGAAGCTGTGTTTGTAGAGGTTGGGTCTCCACTATAACACAAGTAGTGGAAACACACTGTAACACAAAGAGTGGAACCGCACTGTAGCACAAGGAGTGGAACCACACTGTAGCACAAGGAGTGGAACCACTCTGTAACACAAGGAGTGGAACCACACTGTAACACAAGGAGAGGAACCACACTGTAACACAAGGAGTGGAACCACACTGTAACACAAGGAGAGGAACCACACTGTAACACAGAAGAGGAACCACTGACATTGTGTTCCTCACCTTGGTGTGACATTGTGTTCCTCTCCTTGCACACTGTAACACAAGGAGTGGAACCACACTATAACACAAGGAGTGGAACCACACTGTAACACAAGGAGAGGAACCACAAGGTAACACAAGGAGTGGAACCACACTGTAACACAAGGAGTGGAACCACACTGTAACACAAGGAGAGGAACCACACTGTAACACAAGGAGTGGAACCACACTGTAACACAAGGAGAGGAACCACACTGTAACACAAGAAGAGGAATCACTCTGTAACACAAGGAGTGGAACCACACTGTAACACAAGGAGTGGAACCACACTGTAACACAAGGAGAGGAACCACACTGTAACACAAGGAGTGGAACCACACTATAACACAAGGAGTGGAACCACACTGTAACACAAGGAGAGGAACCACACTGTAACACAAGGAGGGGAACCACACTATAACACAAGGAGTGGAACCACACTGTAACACAAGGAGTGGAACCACAAAGTAACACAAGGAGTGGAAACATACTGTAATACAAGGGGTGGAACCGTACTGTAACACAAGGAGAGGAACCGCACTGTTACGCAATATTTTTTTTTTTATCTGTGAGTGAATATACGAGAATCGAAAACCATTCCCCGACCGTGTTACATCCGAATATGAGTTCAAGCTAAGAGAAAGAAATATTTAGGACAAGTTGAAGTTTGAATAACTAAACACGATAATGTAACGAATTTTGCAACTGTGAACCTTTCTCTGATACAAGAGGATGTTACAGAAATTGAACCAAGCTCAACACTGCAGGATTTCTTTTATAAGTGTAACTAAGTTGAAAAAGTATATAATCATTAAAATTTCACATTAGCTTTCACATTTATGCTGTACCACAAATAATACCTTTCTAACTCAGTTCTCAACCCATGGGCTGTGTCTCCCCTCGGGGTTGCGAAATGTTTTGTGGTTGACTCTCCGGCTATATATGTAACTCAATCGAAGAATGGTTTCAAAGGAATTTACAATTTGAACACTTGTCTTAAAGTTTAAATACTATCTTAACACTTTCATTTGACTCTACACATCTCTCTGTGAGAAAGGATTTTCAACGCTTCTACATTTAGAAAAAAAACAAAAAAGAAAAAAAAAACAAGAATGGTGGGTTACAATGTCAATCAATGTAATAAATGTGCCGCAAAGTTAAATTATTAAGTCAAATTTATGTTCTGTTTACCGTCTTATCTTTTGATGTATCGGGGTCGCGGGTAACTTGCATTTTTTTATAAATGTGATCGACAGTACTCTATAGCAGGAATATTCACATTTTTCTTATTAACATTTAAAAGTAAGACTTCTTATTTAATCTAGCGCGCGAACAAATTTTAACGTAACCATTTTATGGTCTTCCGCGTGCCGATGAAAATTGCTATGCGTGCCAAGTCTTGCACGCGTGTCACAGGTTGAATGTAGTTGTTGCTAAGAGAGTGTTTGGCGAGGGGCCAGTGTTTTTGAGGTGCGTCGTGTTTACTAGGAAAACGTACATGTAAATAAAATATTATTTCCAATGAATGGAAAATTATAAATCAATTATACATTTATTATAGAAATATATGCTCGTTTTTTTTCCAGCTGGCATGCTTGAGAAATCCTTCGGAGCCTGGATCATGTCAGTCGTTAGCTATTATGGATAGGGGCTGCCATTGCTGTCCTTCAAGTTAGCAGGAGCCCTAGGCACGACCAGTGGCTGGATGGTAGTGGCAGGAGGGATGGTTGTTTGTGCTTTCTCTTACGTTTTCAGCCTGATTTTTTCATGATTAATGGCAGTTGATTATCCAAAATTTGCAAACATGATATGGCCACGTCATAAATGAATTCGCTTGAAAACATTTAGGTGGACTTAACATTTTCATTTGCTAGTGAATGTTAGAAATATAATTAATTTCCTATCACTACATTAAATCATGAAAGATTAAAAGGTGCGCAGTGAACTTGCAAAAATAAATTAAGAATACAAAACATTTAAGGTTATGGCGAATGCCCCAAAAACAAACTATGTATAATTGGTAAAAACAAACAAACAAATAAACAAAGCATTCTAGTTACGCCACTGGGTTTGTTCAGCGCGCTTCTTGAAATGTGTGTCGTATTTGGTGAGATCACTACAAAAAAAAAATCATTTAATTGCACTATTCATTTTGTTTCATAACTTATCAAACTTGAAATTTTGTATTTAACTTCGTTTTGGGAGCAATTTTCATATGTGATATCAATTCATGTTTCATTTTATATCTGATTTTATTGACGACATTTGAAATTCTTGTCAACGACAGAGTGTTTATGTAAATAAAGCTCAGTTCAAACAATAACGATGGTTCTGTTTTATAATGTGATTGAAGATTGTATCGTGTCAAATTCGTAAGTGGATTAAAAGACTAAAAAATTATTTGCATCCAAGTTTTGTTTAGCTGGTTTATATCCAGGTAGTTTAGCTTAATTAAGAGGACACTTAGAGAGAATCCCAAATGACAGAGGAGTGAAGAGGGTGCATCGTTAAAACCCTCGAGGAAAACAGCTCAAAGTCAGACCTAGGCGTAGATGGAAGGAGGATCTGGGGGAAAAGATCCGCAGCAGCCGTGAATCGAGGCATGGAAAATAAAAGCCTTGATTAAGTCTGAGTGGGAGGAAGTAGTGAGGCCACAGGGATGGGATGGATAGTAAGCTTAAAGCCTACAAAGGCTATGTGCCTTTAAAATACACGAATGAAGACAACCACACGGTATTTAATAAGGCTGCATCTATTAGGTACCCGGGTACCTATAGTCGTCAATAATTATTCGCAGAGTGGCTCCGCACATATTAAATGGCTTCGGAGCCGGGTGTGATAACAATAATACTAATAATAGTATGAGAATTATTTTTTTTAATTGTTTTTTCTCCTTGTTATTTCATAGAGTCATAGTTTTATTCTTTTCAGGTTTTTTTTATTTTTGCTTTATTAATTTTTCTTAGGACGGGTAGATTTGTTTTCTTTCTTATTTTTTTTTTTAGTTTAAGCCATTTTCGTAGATCATTTTTTTTTAAAATCTAGTAATGAAGATGATTTAGATACATTTATTGTTTTCATTTGAATTTTAGAAAAGAAATAATTTAAATTTAATTATTAAAATTAAATCCTTTATTTAAGATTATTTATGTGTATTGTTTAAGTTAAAAGATTTAATCACACAGTACTTTATAAATTAATTAGGTATTCTAAATAATGAAAATTTCATTCATAATGAATTAATTTCAACTATTCCTCTAGAGAGCTTGGCTTAGTCGGAACATTTTTAAACTTTTTCCTTGGCACTGGGAGTCATACATGCGTACACTGACTGTTTTTCATGATATCTCGAATCTCCTTTCAACAACTTTTCTATTTGACTTGACCTAATTCACAAGGTAGTTGCAATGAACATCTTAAAGTTAAAAGATGCCATTGTATAAAGTATGAGAAAGAGACTTATTTTTGGAGGACTAGTCTTTTTTTTTTACCATATCTGTCTACTGGGTCTAACACACTGGTACATAATTTAAAATTTAATAGAAAAACAAAACCTTTTTGACTTGAGAACATTTTTGTTTGGTTGTTATTTATTTGAGTTGTGTACTCAAGTAATCCATAAAATAAATTAGGGGCCAGTAAGGCAGCCAAAAAACTCATTCAATTAGGTCACATCATTCCTTTGCCATTTGTCTCCTTTTACTTTCTCACATTCCTTGTTGGTAACCGTACAGTTAACTATTGTTTGTATCATTTCTTCATTTAAGTACAGATGTAATTTTTGAGTGGGAGCAAATAAATGTGATCTGTGAAGGGAGTTTGGTTTCAAGGCAACTAAGTCATGCCACATTGAAAATAAAATACTGATAACCTAAATAAATAGAGCCATTGAAAAAAAATATAGTACATACAAACCATACACAAACAGAAAGACAAAAATCCACTAAAGTTTATTTTTTTAAAATTTGTTGTGACTTTTATTGCAAAAAATTAAACATTTTATACCAATTTTGACTTTTACGCAAAATGAATAAAGACAAATTTGTATTGCATTGTATTGTAACTTATTGTACTGTATTGTAAATGAAACTTGGCATACACATTAAAAATAACATTGACATAAAGTTTAAAGAAGCTTATTACACAGCAGTTATTGGAAATGTTACAAATGGCATGTATGTGGGGTCACATAAATATTCGAGAACTCTTCAGGAGTAGCAAATGTAAAAATGTTATAAAACTTTTTTAGTTGGATATACCCGGTATATAAAAAAAGCCTCTTGAATCTTGTAAAGAATATCAATGAAAAGAAGCATGCAATGTTTGAAGGCTGTAGCTAGAATACTTTTCCTCCCAATTCATTTAAATTTGGCATTCCTAAAAAATCCGGAAAATGCAAAATTGAGAAAAATGAAAAAAAGTATAAAATTGTGGGGCTTTTTTAAATTAGAGGTCTGCATGAACGATATAGGATCACCATGTACATATATCATTCATGAATTAAAAAACAATTAGAAAACTACGACAGAAAAGATAGAAAAAAAATTAGCACACGAACCTAATTAAAAAATATATATAAATAAAAACATTCTGAAAAATTTTTCTTTGAGATATTTGTTTAAAAACCATCCATCATTAAGTAGAGAATGTCAATATAAATAAGCATGAAGAGTTTCAATTATTTAGTTCCAAAACTATTCCTCCTGATTCATCAATTGACGTCAGAAAAAAAAAATGAAAATGCTATATCGATAAAAGCTGAAAAAGACACTAACAAATGCTTATTAAAAAAATTAAAGTTAAAGGTTACTTGAAAAACATTGGATGCATACATCATGAACACATTCCACTCGTTAATTTAAAAAAACACAATTTAAGTACATAGATATAATTGATAGAATATAAATGAATGCCCTTTCCCAACAACCCATTAGCCTCGAGCCTAATAAAAATAATAAGATCATAAAAACTTCGGAATTTTGTTTATGAGACATGTAATAAAAAAAAAAACATCAATCATTATGTAGAGAATATAATAGAAAAAACCTTGCAAATTTTGAAGCATGTGGTAATAATGCTTATCCTCATAATACATTTGACGTCAGAGATAAATGGAAAATCCTAAGTGGACCACTTTAAATAGAGAAAAAATTCAATTAAGCAATATTAGATGTATAGGAGTCAAATAAAATGAAATATAAAACATATCAATGTGAAATCATCATAAAAGATAATAATTTTCTAGATAGTTTTACTTAACGTTAAACAATATTGTAGAACATGTTAATGTTTTTTTAGTAAGAAATCAATAGACTCAGTTTAGGAAACAAAAATCTGCCCAAGAAATATAATAAAAATGGTTATTTACACAATTTTGTAAAATAATTTTCAGCACATTAAAAACATTTACATTTTTATAAAAGTAGCTGAAAACTTTCGGAACCAATCATTGCGAATTAGCAGTGAACATAAATTTACAAGAACAAGTCAAGAATGACGATTATCTCAGCAAGGCCTTTTCAAACCCAGTTGTTGGGTTCAGCTGTCTATGTTCTATATACCGGTATTCACTTTTCTGCGTGTTAACTTGTCCGTTGGTTCACTAGTCCTGTGTTTGGATGTGTTATGGTGAATTGTGGGTTTACTTGTCCTGCGTTCATTTGCGCGGCCACCGCAACGGACACAAACCATAAAGTTTATGCAGCATTAACGATCAGAAATCTGCTTAAAGTAAACCTATACACGGGTAAGCCGCGGCGACTGCATTGCTGCCCACAACCTTACTAAAAAGAAACATGGCAAAGCCATGGAGGCCACGTCGCTCTAGCTATGCTGACGTATTACTTTAGTGTATCAGAGAATGACTTTGGTAATCAGCAGACCAGACCAGGGAAACGGCGCATGGGCAAAAAAAGGTGCGAAGCGAGAGACTCGGCTACGTAATAGAATTCCACCAACAACAGAGACTGAGAGAGCGACCAATGTCCAAGCGTTGGGTGATGTGTAACGTGTCCTCATAATGAGCAGATCTGGGAAACGTTACGAGCGGACCAGGGGTTATGTTGCGATTTGTTCACTAGAAAGTTGTGCCACCCACTACCACTAAGTTTAAAAAAAAAAAAGAACAACTCTTCAGCTCGCCGAAAATGCTGCCCTTCATTATAATTTTTTTTAAAAAGTGGCACCCGTGTGGACCACACCCTCCACAGCCCCCTTCCTATGCAAGTGGATTGAATTTTTCTCGACAATTGTGAGTCATAGTAGGCAAATAAGCTATTTAAATGGTCTGTGGTTGGTCAGCTCTAATTTGTTAGATGGAACTTAATTATTTAGATGCCACCTCAGTTGACTCTGGTTTGTGGTGAGTAAAATGAGAGGCAGTGTTAGTGATTTTATGTATCTGGATGGAGCCAAGTTGCTTTGTTAGTCATCTGTTTGCAACTGTGTTTATTTCGCTACTGACATATATTTCATTACTTTCCCGCTTTTTGCCTCTAAGGGGCAGTTCACACTATCAAATTCTCCTTCCAACATGTGATGCAATCTGTGTTTGAAGCCTTTTCACAACTTTAAAATTATGATTTGATAAAATTTTCTATTTTGTGTCTATAAATCCGCACACAAAATAGTGCCTTCAAACACGAATTGCATCAAATGTTTGAAGGAAAATTTGATAGTGTGAACTGCGCCTTAGTCTTAGTAAATCACCAGCTATTTATTGAGAAAGAAATCGAAACTGTCACCAATTTTAAGAAAGGAAATTGACACGTTTATTTAAAGTTTTAACAAACATTTGCCACATAAACCCCACCCTCAAAATTCTAGCCGCGTTACGTCCGTAATAGATGCACAACCGCGCAAAGGAAAAGCAGCGCCCTGGGCGAATGCGCCCCCTGATATTGAGGTCCCTTGCGAGTACCACCTTTACATTGCTGTGCATGGATCCAGTGGGCTAGAAAGAAATATCAGACAAGGTAGATTGATGTATAAAATTTTTAAAAAATTATTTAAATCTAAATGTATCCAATTAGGCAACTTTTATAACGTATCTTTGAAGACAGAAGAGTTTTCCTTGTTTTCCCACGATGGCGTCATTTGTGACAAGATTCATGAAATGTAGGCTACCTTTTTTTTTAAATCTCGTTCAATTTTGTTAAATATTTATTGTACATGAACAAAAAGACGCTATTTTAGGCCTTTAGTTCTATCAGGTAAAGAGGAAGTTTTAATTTTATATCACTAGAAATAATTAATCGCGCTTAAATTTCATTGCCCTAAGTAGGCAC